ACAAAAAACAAATATTGGCAAGGATGTGGGACCATTTTTATACTGCTGATAGGAATGTAGATTGGACTAGCAGCTATTCAGACCATAATGGAAGTCTCTTCAAAGAGCTAGAAATAGGACTATAACATGATCCAGCTATCCTATTTATCCTAAAGCACCCCGAGACAACCTACTACATTCATGTGTGTTGCATCATAGTTCACAATAGCCAAGTTAATAGAATAAGCCTCTGCATCTGTCAAGAGCTGCATGTATAAAGAACGGTGTATATACACAATACAGTTATATTCTGGTATGGAAGAATAAATTCATTTGCTAGGGAAATGTATGCAAGTGGGGATGGCTATATTGACATAAGTCTAATACATGAAGACAAATATTGTATTTTTTCTTAATTGTGGTCCTAAGTTTATTTATACATGCATAAAACTCTGTATATGCTCTTATGTCATATATGCATATGTGTATAAACAAGTTTGGCATGAAAATAAAAGGGAGACTAGTAGAAGGGAGAAGAGTAGTATGCAGGGGGAGGAAATTCAGGAGTGGAGAGGAAGAGCAGATATGATCAAAGTTTATTATATGCTTCAAAGAAATTATCCATAGGAAATCTAACACTATGTACAATGATTATATATCAATAAAATATAATTGTATATATCCTACAAACATACTATTTAAAGTATCTGAGTATGTCAAGATAAAAGATCCATACTTAAGGGATTTTCCTTTCATAAGAGATGCTCTTGGATTAAAGGGAACATGAGTAATGAGACTGTCTCCTGGGTCATCTATGTTCCATGAAGCATCGAGTCTGAGATTATTCCCTTACTATAAATAGATGCATGTGCAGTAGCTATGTGAGAATTGGACAAACAGGAGCCAGCACGTCAATATAGGCCGCTCCTTTTTCTTTAACATCAGTAACAGTGTGTGTTCACAATAGAATGTTCTAAAAGATCACATGAAATAAAGGATGCATTGTTTTCTTGTTCCTCTTTTATGCCATCCCTTGTGAGCCCAGATCACATCCTTTCAAAGGCTCCTGGAGCTATGGGCTGGGTTTCTTTTTCAATTAGCTATTTCTATTATTTTGTGTGAGTGTTTTGCCTGCATGCATGTCTATGCACCATGTGCATGCCTGGAGCTCATGGAGGCCAAAAGATCCCTGAGTCTGGAGTTACAAATAGTGATGAGAAGATGTGGGTGCTAGGATTCAAAACTGTGTCTTCTGCCAGAGCAGCTCTAACCTGAAGAACATCTCCAGCCCTCTGTTTCTTCTAGAAGACTATTTTCTGTAATTGTATTATCCCATAGATTGCATTTTCTTTGTCTATTTCCAAAGAAACATGTTACAGCTACGACAAAAGTAGGTCATTCTGCATGAAAGGAAGGTCTACTTACAAATACTTACCTCTAGCAAATACGTGAGGCCCCACTCTGGTTGAGGTGCTTTATGGAATTGAACTCACATGTTTATGAAATAAAATAAGAAGCAACATACAGGTAAGAGGTAAATATGTAATATATAAATCTATAATCATGTGGAACATACTGTAAAAACTACAAATATTGTGAGAGATCACAGCCCGCTAATATAGGCAGGTCTATATTATATTACAGGAGAAACACTTGGAGGTTGGCAGGAAAGCTGAGGTCATGAGGACCATTGTATGCAAAGCAGGTGCAAACACTGCTGAACTGAATGAAATACAACCAGGAAACAAATGTCTAGAATAACCTTCTGCCAGTTAAACCAAAGAAATGTAGTGGGAAGCACAGAAACACTTCCGCAATATCAGTGACATAGCAAAGAGCATTGTAGTTCTTTTGTTTGTTTTTCTTGGCTTGTTTATTGACGGGGAGGGTGTTGGGGAATGAATGCAGTGTCTCATATATGCTAGGCAGTACTCTGCCACTAAGCTACAGCCAGAGGCCTTACATTGTCGTCTAAATACATAAAAAGAGATTTGGCCTCACTCAAAATTGCAGAGGGGAGAGTATCTGCCTCCATCCTGATGCAGTGATCTGAGCTCAATTCTTATAATTCACAAGGTGGAAAAAGAGCACTGACTGACTCTTTCAAGTTGTCCTTCAACCTCCATAGGCACTCTTTGGCGTGCGCGCGCGCGCACACACACACACATACATGTCGAAGTCATTTTTTGAAAGTAAGACAAAAGCAAATAAAAATGCAAAGGTACTATTTCTTACAATTAGGTTGACAAAAATTTAATGACAAGGGTAACAGAAAGTAATAACAAAAATTGAAATCATAACATTAATACCTGCTTGTTTATTTTGTCATAAACAGTGAAAAGAGATATACAAAAGCAGTCTAGGGAGGTAGCTCACTTTTCTACTTAGCCATATTACACTTAATTGCCTTGTCAATCAGTTTATGGTATAGGTACTAGACATGTTAGTACCTCTAGCACCTGAAACTAGTTCCTCTAATCAAGATATCCCAGAAATATAATCTTATGAAAATGAAATTAAAATTTAAATGCTTGTAAGAATATACAAAAAAATGTGATACAAAAAAAATAAAATTACACTGAACATCCTATTAAGCCTTACCAAAAGTAATGCAGTCTTCCCAATATATTGCTTTAGTCTGGTAAATGAATCAACTTTTCTTGTGTAACAAAAACTATAAAATAATAGCATAAAAAGGTGGTTTACTGATTGTTGCCAGAAAGCACTAAGTTTATATTGAGTTGATATTAGTGGGGGAATGTCTCATATAGAAGGAATGAATTTTTGAAAGGTATCACCTTCTTAATTGAGCAAATACTTAAAACTTTACACCAGTTTATATAAAGAAGTTATCTTTTTATTTTATTAGAAGGTCACTGTCATTAATTTGCAATTGATGGTTTTATAATAGGTCCTTCTGGTTCTTGATGGTTATTATCAACATATAAGGCAGTGACGATATGGCCTGTACAAAGGCAGGACAGGGGTCTTAATTAGAACTCTGACAAGCCCACTGCAATAAAATGATGAGATTATCCATAATTGATGTCACAATCCATTACCACTTAGTTCATCATGAGCGTTCTAATGGGTCTGGCCTTGGAACTGGCCTCGGGATGTTGCTGACTGGCTGCCCTGCTTATGCTGTTATTACAACAGGAGGGCACATTTTCAGTCAGCAGCCTAATGACCTCTTTTGAAGTCTATTAAATTAATGACACTGCCACAGTGTTTTCATTTCTTCCAACCTTAGTTTGAGGTTTCTACAAACTAATGTTTGGGAACCATATAATAAAGAGATTTTGTACGTATAACCCCAGCAGCACAGACATTAAGGGCCTCATTGAATAAATGGGACCTCCTGAGACTGAGAAGCTTCTGTAAAGCAAAGGACGCTGTCACTAAGACAAAAAGGCAACCCACTGACTGGGAAAAGATCTTCACTAACCCTGCAACTGACAAAAATCTGATCTCCAAAATATATAAAGAACTCAAGAAACTAGACCGTAAAAGGCTAATCAACCTAATTATAAAATGAGGTACTGAGCTGAACAGAGAATTCTCAATAGAAGAAGAACTTCAAATGGCCAAAAGACACCTAAGGTCATGCTCAACTTCCTTAGCGATCAGGGAAATGCAAATCAAGACAACTTTAAGATACCATCTTATACCTGTCAGAATGTCTAAAATAAAAAACACCAATGATAGCCTTTGCTGGAGAGGTTGTGGAGAAAGGGGTACACTCATCCATTGCTGGTGGGAATGCAAACTTGTGCAGCCTATTTGGAAAGCAGTGTGGCGGTTTCTCATGAAATTTGGGATCAACCTATCCCTGGACCCAGCAATACCACTCTTGGGAATATACCCCAGAGAGGCCTTATCATACAACAAAAGTATATGCTCTAGTATGTTCATAGCAGCATTGTTTGTAATAGCCAGATCCTGGAAACAACCTAGATGCCCTTCAATGGAAGAATGGATGAAGAAAGTATGGAATATATACATATTAGAGTACTACTCAGCAGTAAAAAACAAGGACTTCTTGAATTTTGCATGCAAATGGATGGAAATAGAAAACACTATCCTGAGTGAGGTAAGCCAGACCCAAAAAGAGGAACATGGGATGTACTCACTCATATTTGGTTTCTAGCCATAAACCAAGGACATTTAGCCTATAATTAGTGATCCTAGAGAAGCTAAATAAGAAGGAGAACCCAAAGAAAAACATATAGGCATCCTCCTGAATATTAACCTTCATCAGGCGATGAAAGGAGACACAGAGACCCACATTGGAGCACCGGACATAAATCTCAAGGTCCAAATCAGGAGCAGAAGGAGAGCACGAGCAAGGAACTCAGGACTGCAAGGGGTGCACCCACACACTGAGACAATGGGGATGTTCTTTCAGGAATTCACCAAGGCCAGCTGGCCTGGGTCTGAAAAAGCCTGGGATAAAACCAGACTCGCTGAACATAGCGGACAATGAGGACTGCTGAGAACTCAAGAATAATGACAATGGGTTTTTGATCCTACTGCACGTACTGGCTTTGTGGGAGCTTAGGCAGTTTGGATGCTCACCTTACTAGACCTGGATGGAGGTGGGTGGTCCTTGGACTTCCCACAGGGCAGGGAACCCTGATTACTCTTTGGGCTGATGATGGAGGGGGACTTGATTGGGGGAGGGAGAGCGAAATGGGAGGCGGTGACAGGGAAGAGACAGAAATCTTTAATAAGTGAATAAATTTAAAAAGAAAGAAATGAACAAAAATAGCAATTCTTGTGACACATATAAAGGAAGACTTTAGGTATATGCTCTACTTCCAAATGTAGTCTTTTTTACATAGTGTTTGTGTAGCCCAAGCTATCTTTGAAGTTATGACCCCTACTTTAGTCTCCTGAATGTGAGGGATACTAGGTTCACACCACAGTGCTGGACCTTTAAGGATGTATTTTTAGTGGTAGGTCCTCTGTTGTGGTCTTCTTGTTTCTAAAAAGGGCCTGATTATTTTTACTAATTCCAGGTGCCAACAGGTCATGTTTGGTTAGAAGGTGACAACTTACAGAATTCTACAGACTCCAGGTACTACGGACCTATTCCATATGGACTAATACGAGGACGGATCTTCTTTAAGGTATGCTTTAATGCCTAAAATGCTAGTTTTATTCTCTGGGTCAAGGAGTGGTTCTCTCAGATTGAACTTTGAAATCCATGGGCTGGTAAGTTGACTTAACTGGTGCAGTGACTACATTTGATGACCGTTTTTTAAGAGCTATGGACAAAATTGTATCCTCGCCCCTTCCTGCTCCTATGGGAAATAACAGAAGGTTTTAGAATAATATCCAAACTAAACTAGTGGTAGCCTGGGGAGCCTTTGAGTTTATAGAAATCAAATTCTGTCATGTGACTTTTACAGCCGTAGTCAGATCTTGGCATTTCAAGAGCAGCCCAGGCTTGGTCTACTTGGGATGCAGGTGGACCACGTCAAATACAGCAAACCATAGGCAGGCATATAATGAATATACATGCCTTGGTTGACATTGCCCAATCTTCAGTGGTTCCTCCATTATTGACTGATGTAATTTTGTTGTGAGACAGAATCTTATTCTGTATTCCAGGCTGGTCTTAAACTCTCCACCCTGTCTCTGTCTTATAAGTGTTAGTGTCATGGGTGTGGATTACAGGTGTGTGTCACCACATCTGCTCCCCCTTTATCAAAAGGCAAGTATATAATGTTCAGAATTCTTTTTGGGGGGCGAGAGGAGGTTCGAAATGGGGTTTCTCTGTAACTTTGGAGCCTGTCCTGGAAACTAGCTCTTGTAGACCAGGCTGGCCTTGAACTTACAGAGATCCACCAGCCTCTGCCTCCCAAGTGCTGGGATTAAAGGCATGTGCCACCACCACCTGACTAGAATTCTTTTTTACCTAAACAAATGCCACATGCAGACAGCTTTTTTAAAGTATCAGGTACCATATGCTGGTAGTGTAACTTATTTGAGAATGGTAAAAGAAGACAGGACTTCACAAATCTATACGGATACACTAAACAAACATGGTTTCTGGTACTATGTTTGAATGTTCCAGGCTACATACAGAAGTTTATTTTCAGAGTAGCCTATGAAGAAAATGCACTGTATTATCTCACAGAATAGGAAAAGAGAACATCAAGATGATAAAGAAGTTTCATTAATTATCTTCCACTGTATTTTCATTTTACAGATTTGGCCTTTCAGTGATTTTGGATTTCTGCGTGACAGCCCAAATGGCCACAGATTTTCTGATGATTAGCAAGCATTTACTTTTTTGAATTGATTATTGTCTCCTATTCAAATGAATTTATTACTGCAGTTGAAACCATGAACTTACAAATAAACTATTTGCTACTCAGTTTTATTTTTGTTTTTAAGAGTAAACATTACATTCTGCAATATACAATAACTGAAAGTATTTGGATAAAAATCCCAAACAAGTTTCCCTTCTGATTTTATGATATCAGAATATCTTGGATGAGAAATCTTAACCTCATATTTGAATTTTGGTGGTGCTTGTCCAATGACAGCAATCTGTTCTCAAGTGTGCCTCATATGTCAGCTGTCTCCACCGAAGTCTGAGACCATGCATTCCCAGTCTGTGTTCTTCTGACAGCACCAAGAGTTAGACAGAAATCAAAGGTGCTCCATAGGGCCTCGGTGTTTGTCACATGCATTCTGATGTACACTGTAAACAAAACGGTATGTGAAAGAGGCCACCCGGGAATGACATCTAGAGTCTGTTGCAGTCAGTGAGCACTCACTGTAAAATCACCTTCGCCACACCACTGAGGAAAGGAATGGCTCCTTAGTCCTAAATGGAGGCAATTAAAAGTCCAATCTGAATGCCAAGTTTTTAAAGTTTTCTCTTCCTAATTTCGATCTGAAGTTAAGATAAGCTGTTAACGAGCTTTAGACACCCAGGGCCAGGATTAGAGTCACGTTTTCTAACACTTAGTCTTCTTTACCAGCTTTCAAATAACATCTGAGTGGTCATAGCCAGCCTTGTTTAGGGTAGAGCTGGGCTCTCACTTTGTTCACAAAATCCTAATCTTATGTAAATGCCTGGGAATGTGAAATAGATAAACAATAGGCTACAACTTCAGTGACTCAGAGCACTATCGTCTACATCAGCTTCCTAATTAGAGACAGCAAGATGGTCCAGCCGGTAAAGGCACTCACCACGAGGCTGAGGACCCAAATATGACCTCTGGGAACCACATGGGGAAAGAAGAGAAAAATCAGCTCCTCATAGACTCACTTATTGTCCTGTGCCTTAGGCACACACACAGGCACACAAGCACACGCATTGTAAAGATTAAAACAAAAAACAAAACCCTTAGTAACTATAAAGAATAAACTGTAAAAACTAAAAACATAAACTATATAAAAATAAATACTTTATTATTTTGTACCAAGGAGAAAACAAAAGTTAGATAAAAATTCAGAAATATAATCGAAGTCCTTTTTGTGATATCCTGTAAATATATATATATATATATAATACTGAATTAATTTGTTAATCTAAAGTGGCCTTTGCTTGAAGATCTTATACTATCTTGGCAATTTATACATGTAGTAAGACAGCATCTGTTTCCTTGAAGCCCGAGTGGCCTCTGGACCATGCTGACTTAGTTAAATGACTGTAGGACTGCGCGGTTCAGTGCTGATGAAGAAGTTCCACAATCAGTGAACACGTATCACAAGAAATTAAGTTCACTTCTTCCACTTCATCCTTGGAGACAGTGTATTTTCCCCCACATCGGCAGGTCAGAGAGAAAGACCCATCATCTGAAAAGAAAACAGAAATAATGCCTCAAATGTTTACAGTCATCTACTTTGCTAAAACCATTCAAAATATAGAACATGATCCAGAGAACTGTAAAATGAAACAAAGAAGCCAGGTACAGATAAAAATCAGTTTAAAAGAGAGCTGGAAAGATTCTCTCACACAGGAACAGTCTTTCCATACTTATCTATTATTAAACAGTCTCTATCAATTGTGATAGACTGGTTCACTGTATTCAGTATTCACGGATGGGGAAGAGCAAAGGATGCTGAGAATAATCTTTGAAATTTTTAGTTGTCTTAAGAATTCTGCAAATTTTATATACTCAGCAATGCATTTAAGATGTTCCAGTGAGGATCAAAGGGGCACAGTACTTGAAGTCTCTCCTGGAGAAGGGGGCCAACTCAAGCTGTCCATGTCATTCTACAATCAGGTGACTCAAATACAATACTATATGAAGTGTTTGCTTTTGTTTGATTTTTCCTATGAGTTATATAACTGATTGCTTTGTAGTTAAATTTTATTTGTAAAGCCAGTTATGCTATGTAGCATAGGATGGCCTTGAACTCTAGTGATCCTGACCCAGCCTCTGGGTGCCAGAATTGCAGGCATGTAGCTGCACATCTGCTGGTAGTGGTGGAGATGGGAAGTTTAGATGCTACTGTCTGTCCTCTGAATGCAAACCTCTGAACCCAGTGCTGCTCTAGTTCACTCTCTCTGGGAAGTATCACAGTTCTCAGAACTCAGCAGGTCAGAATCGACTTCACTGCCCCCACAACTTAGAGACAAATGACGTTCCAGTGGGCACAGGACGCTACAGCTTACGCTCAAAGTCCACTACATTTAGAGCTCACTCTGCGGAAGGAGGGAGGGAGAGGCAAAAATAAGATTCAGCTGCCTTGTGCTTCCGCTGTATAAAATGCAGTCTTGGAAAAATGGGCAATGAAGCCAACTTTATGAGCTGTCATATCCAAAAGGAAAACCTAAATCTCTTCTCACTTTTTATCCTTTATCACAGTGTGTGTTTTCTCCATAAACAGAAAATAACTTCATTTCGAACTTAGAAATGCAAATATCAGTGGGCATGGTTGTACATGGTTGTACCTGGTTGCACATGGTTGTACATGGCTTTACTCCCAGCGCTCTGGAGGCAGAGGCAGGTGGATCTCTGAGTTCACGGCTTGGTTTACAAAGTGAGTTCCAGGACAGCCAAGGCTACACAAGGAAACCCTATCTCAATAAACTAAAAGAAAAAAATGTAAACGTCTCCCCTGTTTAAACCAGCATATATATAGCATGTTTCAAAGTCAGTAGTTGATTATCTAAAATTGATTTTCTTTAAAATTTATTTATTATTATTACTGATATTATTTATTGTGCATGTGCCATGCCATGTGCAGAGGTGAGAAGATAAAGTACACGTGTTGGTTCTTCCACCGTGCAGGGCTCAGATCTGTCAAGCCTTCTTTTTGCTCTTGCTGTCTTCTTCCATTTATTTAGTTGGTTGGTTGGTTGTTTGTTCATCTATTTTTGGTTTGTTTGAGACAGGGTCTTACTGAATAGCCTTGAACTCTGCAATATTCCTGCCTTAGCTTCCTAAGTGTTGGGATGACAGGTTGTGGTGACCCAAGCTTTTAATCCTAGTACTTGGGAAACAGAGGCAGGTGGATCTCAGTGAGTTTGAAGCCAGCCTGGTATACATAGTGAGCTCCATGATAGCCAGATGTACATAGTGAGACCCTGTCTCAAAAAGTAAAGAAGCCACCATACCTGGCTTTGCTACTGGACTTTTCTTTCTTCCTTTCTCTCTCTCTCTCTCTCTCTCTCTTTCTTTCTCTCTTTCTCTCTCTCTCTCTCTTTCTTTCTTTCTTGGCATATGTATTTATTGTATAAATATTATATAACATAATCCATATAAAATTATATATATGCCATTAGGTATCCTAAAGTAAGTCCCCACAACACATACCTTTACTGCCTTGATGTGGGTGTCCCCTCTGTGTGCTGCGATTAACATTATGAATAAAGAAACTGCTTTGGCCTGTTACTAGGACAGAACTTAGGTAGGCGGGGAGTGGGGGAGGGGAGACTAAATGGCATGCCTAGAAAGGAGGCAGAGTCAGGAACACCATGGAGCCACCAGAGACAGGTGCTGGGAATTTTACCTGGTAAGCCACTGCTACATGGTGATACACAGATTAATAAAAATGGGTTAAATTAATATAAGAGTTAGCCAATAAGAAGCTAGAACTAATGGGCCAAGCATTAATTTAATTAATATGGTTTCTGTATGATTTTGGGTGTAAACTAGCCGGGCGGCTGGGAAGAACAAGCAGCCCTTCCCGCAACACTACCTCAATGAACACAAGCAATCTGAGGTGACACATTTCATAAGTGGTACAGAAGGCATCATGGGCCACCTGGGAGTTCATCTTCACATCTTGCTGAAATTTCTTATCTTCACTGAAGTCTTAATGCAGTATTTTTATATAAACCATTTTTAGATATAGTCATCAAAATCACCATACAAAGCTTAGCTCCAGTGTCCCAGTATTTCCAGAGACATGTTTTCAGCATAAGAAAATGCACTGTTGGGCCATGTCTCTCATGTGCACACTCACGACTTCTCCTTTGTTGGATCTTCATCCACCCAAGGCCATTGGGAAAATGACCCTGAAGGATTAAAACTGCCCTCCTGATAGACCTTTATTAGCTTCATATGCTAATACTGATTTTTTCTAACCATATAGTTAGTTTCAAACCTATATTAGTTTTTAATACTCCTGTCAGAATCCAGACTTCATAAAGATATTGCTCATTTTTCTCAGGAGGGTAAGGATTATGTCCATCTTTATAACTTAATTTAAATGAGTACCAAAGATACTCTGTTTTAATCATCCCCTTTCTCCTCTTGGCAGTAATGGGGATTAATTAAGGGCCTCATGCATGTTAGGTAAGCACTGTAGCAATGTGCCATAGCCCCAGGCTGAGCTATCGAAGATTATGCATATAACTATGCTTCTTATTGATTCATTGTCCACGGCTAGGGTTGTGTTGATGTTTTTACTAGAAAGATGATTTTAGGAGAGGCTTTGGAAATAACTAAGTGGGTAGAGTGCTTCCTGCATACCGGGATGATTTGAGTTTAATCCCATAAAGGCCAGCTGTGGTTGCACATACCTATGGCCCCTGTATTGGTGGATCAGGAGAGAGTGGAAACACGTAGACACAGATTAGCCAATCGGAGAACTGGACTCAGTGAAAAGACTCAAAAAATAATGTGGAGAAGCAACTGAGAGAACATTCTACCATCAACCTGTGGCCTGCATGTGGGCAAGTGCACCTCCTCCCACAATGACCCAGGGGAAGACATCCTTCTGACAATTCTTGGTGTGATCCCCTTTTCTGTACTGGCTTTACTATGTGGGAATTTCCACTTGTATCAGAGAATCCATGTATTTATTGACTAAACCACCAATCCATGTTTTGAATTTAAAATAAAATTTTAGACTGGGCATGGTGAGACATGTCTGTAATTCTGGCACTTGACAGAAGAGAGCGGGAGGATCAGGAGTTCAGGGTTTTCCATCTCTGTCTTGCCAGTTTGACACTAATATGGATTACATGAGACCCTCCCTTAAGAAAACAAAAGAAAATTAAATAAAATCTTAAAACTACATAATCAAAATGCTCAAATATTAATGAAAAAATTACAAAAATCAGCTTTTAATAATTTCATGCTAATAGAGAAAATTAGCAAGCAAAGTATAAACTACATCAAGAACTAATTTTTAATGAGCAAATAAACATCTAATGATTAATAAGGACTCAAACTATATTTTTTAAAAAATTAAATTTGTAACCAGTCTATGGTAGTGCACGTTTTTTAATCCCAGCACTTGGGAGGCAGAGGCAGGCATTTGAGGCCAGCATGGTCTACAGAGGGAGTTCTGGGACAGCCAGGGCTGTTACACAGAGAAACCCTGTCTTGAGAAACAACTCCCCCCCCCCCCCAAAAAAAAGAAAAAGAAAGAAAATTAAATTTGTTTATGCATAGATGGATATTCTGTCTGCATGAATGTCTGTGTACCACAGGTGTGCAGTGCCGGCAGGAGTCAGAAGGTGCTAAATCCCCTGGAACTGGAACACAGACACTGTGAACTGCCACATGGGTACTGGGAATTGAACCCATGTCTTCTGCAAAAGCAGCCAGTGCTCTGAACCAGTGAAACATCTAAATGCAAGCCAAGAGTATATATACTCCTGCCCCCAAAGTATATTTTTTTAAAAAATATATTTAGTTGGACAAATCTCAAATAATTGTTACATTCTAGTGTGTCTCTCCAGAAGTTAGCAATGAAGAACAGGCCACTCTTGCTTCCACAGAAGTTATCCCTCCTCTTACTACAAGAAAGACACAGAACTCTGGTTATTCATAGTAAATATGAGTAGACCGCAGAATTTTACTTGGGTGGCTAAACACAGAGTGGTTCTCTAGGCAAAGACACAATTCCTCTTCTAAGTCAGTGATGCTTGTGCCCTCTGCATAGAGTACTATGTAAAGAATTTGCCATGAAAAATGAAGCTTGGTTTCAAGAAGGATGGCTGTGTCTATAACAGCACTACATTCATTAGTGAGTTTCTATTAGCCTTGAAGGGAACAGAACCCGACGCTGAAAAACAAACTGACAGAGTTAAGAGTAGACACAAAATTCTAAGAACTAGTAATTGTATTTTCCCAGAGAAGTACTGAAGTATAATGATCACGGCTTCCACTTAATAAGTGGTGTTTCCTAATTTAATAATGTGCAATCAGAACAATTTCAAAGAACAGAAGAATGTGGGAATTATATTGGTTAATGCAATTTTAATATTCTAGTAAAAGAAAATGGAAAGAAGACATGACTTTATGGAAGGCAAGGGGAGCAAGAGATTTTTCTTAAGGACAATCAAACAGATAGTGTTAGGAAAGTCCTAGCATAACAGTGTGTGGTGGCTTGTGCCTGGAGTCCTGGCTTTCAGAAGCTCAAGGTCATTCTAAGCTAACAGTTATTTTCAGATGAGATGAGATCAGGCTACACATGAGGCCTTGGCTCAGATAAAAGCAAACAGTGAAAGAGAGAGCAAAGAAAAACAGCAAGCTCTTTTAAAGCAGAAGGCCTGAACATTAAGAGGCCTCTCGTATCAGTTTCTGATCCCATATAAGGGCAAAAAGAAATTCTGACAGGAACTTACTTTGTCAGCATGAAGAATATTATAACTTTTAAATTTTTTTCTTTAACCTTATTACAGATAATAATGCAAAAATTAAAGCAGTAAAAAATGAAAAACGTTTATATACTTAATTGGAATAGAAAATAATGAGAAATGGGTCATATAATAGCTCAATAAGCAAAGTTGATAATAGCAGGCCCAACAAAGATGTATGTAGAAAGGTAAAGCTCTCTATAGATAGATAGATAGATAGATAGATAGATAGATAGATATAGATAATATAAATAAATATAAATCCTAATATTTCTCTTCAGTGTGGATACAACAAAATAAACTAAAATCCAACCTTTGTTCCAGGACATTTCTTCAAGGTAGACTTGTGTGTCTACTGGCCCCATACTTCTTAATTCAGCTTCTGTAGAATACAAAATGAGACAATTTGATAATGAGGAATTCTCATAATGCATCTCCAGTATGGCCATTCAAACCCATATTATTAACTGTTTTCAAACTAGCTTAATGCTTTTGACATCAGCACAGAGGCAGAGAGCTTTTAGTCCATGTCCACCAGGTATAGAAGAAAGTCCATAAAAGAACAATAGCAATCCAGAAGAACAGGCCGCATAAGGAATAGAACTGACCAACACCTTGATCTTGAACTTTTGAGCCTCCAGAACCATGAGAAATAAATTCTGCTCAGCTACGCGGTCTACAGTGTTTTGTTAGGGCAGCTCAAGCAGACTAATGGGTATTTTTCAAATCAAATGAGATCAGGCCAGAGGTGCTGTAAAGAGCAAAGCTCTACAAACACAGGGGCTGCTGCTCATCTGCTGGCAAAAGAGTAAAGAGAAACTAAAGAGAGGGGACTTTGGTAATCCCACAGCACAGCTGTGTTCTGTGCATCTTTTGCTATTTCCTGGGCCAAAGAATTCCGCTACAGATTGAGGGTCTAAGCCATGAATATATCTAAATATAATAAGAGTATGGTCTGGGTAGTAGAAGCATGAAATCTCACTTAAAGCACATAGACTTTCAGCAAAGAAAGCAACCACTGATGGGAAACCTTATTTCTGTATTCCTGTATGTGTCTATTGTTCTTTCAGAAGTTAATGCTTAAGAAAAAAAGAGCCCCTTACTGAAATTCAGCAACTTCCCTGACTCCAAACGCCGTTAGCTGTCTCACTAGTCTTCTCACTTTGTTCTGCTGTCTGCATGCCAGCGACTTAATTATATGTAACAACTACCCGTTCAGAATGTATTGGTGAGTTACATGACTTAAAAAGAAATGAAAAGATTATACAATATTTTGAACCTACCATAGTTTCCTACTAAACTATGTCAAATAGTATACTACATCATATTTACTGGGTACCAACAGTCTATTAAAATCAAGACACAGACTTTCTCTTGTGGTTGAGATAGCTCTTCCATCTATCTATGCCCACTGAATAGCTTATAAATAATTTATAGTATGCTAAGCAGTTCCTAAACAAACTTACTTTGCATATCCTATACAAAGTATATTTGCTTATCTGTTCTAGCTTCTTCCTCCCTTTTCCCCCCACCCCCTGAGAAGACCAGGTCTTACTTTATAGTCCAGGCCACACTTGAACATACTACATGTAGCTTATGCTGGCCTTGAATTCATGGCAGTCTTTTTGCCTCCTGAATGTTGAAATTATAGGGAAGAGCCACCATGCCTACTTGACTTGTTCTTTCCTTTTTTCCCCTCTTTGAGACAGGGCCTCTTTACATAGCCCTGGCTATCTTGACACTTACTATGTAGATCAGGCTGGCCTTGAGTTCACTGAAATCCACCTGTCTCTGCCTCCCAAGTGCTGGGATTATAGGTATGTGCCATATATATATTCAATTTGAAAGTCTCAGGGACAGAAAAAAAATTCTTATGTTTTAATCTCTTATTCAGAAGGGTCAGCTTTGCTAGAATTAAGAAATTAATATTTGAAAAATAGAGATAATTCATAGTGAAAAGACCTTTTTGGAGAACAAACAAGTATCAATTTGCAACTAAATTACTAGGGTATCTTTTTTTTTTTTTTGTATTCTCTGAACCCAACTGAAGCAAAGTAGATTGGGGAAGTTAGCTTTCTCAGCCTGATCTAACTTGGATATCCAGAATATGCTGTGTTAAAAGGATAAACATTCATAAATGCCCATGGTGCTATTGTATTTAAAAATAAATAATAAATGAGAACTATCTTGCAAATTTCGGCTTTTCTCTTGGGAAGCAGCTGTTATTCTGATCTAGTTACTTTTCGGTGTCCCACTCTATCATTCAACCACATTTCATTAGTTTTTCTTCCTCTGGTCCCTATGCACAGGGCCCTTGGAGTAGCACCTATTCTTAGTTAAAAGATTAGCATAGCCCATCTCATGGTGAAGAAGAGAGAACACAAAAATGATTCCTTTTCTGCCAAAGATCAGAGTTGAAAGGAATATATTGGAGTTTTGTGACTATGGAAACATAGATGTTGCTCATTCAATACTGTGTGCACAAAACTCTGTGAGTGGTTTTAAAAATCAGAATCTGACATCAACAAGCATGAAACATCTCAGGAAAAGTGTGGAGGGGCAAGGTGTGCTGCCCACAAGTCGTGGGAGCTTCCTAGTTAAATTGGTGTGCTTCTGGTGACATGAGATTCTGAACCTCTCTGCACATACACATGCTACACTTCAACAGAAAGATTTTAAAAGCAGTGTATCCGAAATTCTAGTGGTCCCATTTTTAAAATTAGAAATGAGTTTTTTTTTTTTCTTTAAGAAAAGTGATTGTCCTTTGAAAAGACAATAATCTAACAACTTCTGAAAAGGCTAGGGTGATTAGCTCAGGGGAAAATTGGATCCCTGGAGGACCGCATAATGAACAGACCCCGGACAGGAAAAGTAAAAGGTGAATCTAAATGTGGGCAGTGGGGGGTCACCGAGATCCTTTGTTGAGGGCAGGTGTCCAAGGATAGGGCAACAGCAAATTCCACCCTACCACCCCAACCCCCACTACAATTATAAGGAAGGAGTACAAGCAAATCAGCGTGTTTTTCTTTCTTTCATTTAAAACAATGATCTCTGCTTGTCCACCACTGTGGTTGTAATTAAAATCTTAATTCTTCCCTGTCTACTAAAGCCACTTGCAGGAGCCCTGAAAGCAAAGCGGTCTGATAATTCTGTAGTAATCAGGCAGGGCATCTTCAAAACAGATGTGCTTGTTTTCTTTTGCAGTCTCTCTCTCTCTCTCTCTCTCTCTCTCTCTCTCTCTCTCTCACACACACACACACACACACGCACACTTTTGTTCCTTGCAATGACTAGAAATGCAAACCCACCTCAAAGTGTTCCTGTGAAAACATGACACTACTAACATCGAGAAAAGAAACACACTTTAAATCCAAGATCTTAAAATTGAATCCCTTTTTCCCTACATAATGGCAATAACTATTTGGGAAAAAAAAAAAAACATAAAGCAACAACAAAAACAGAGGAAAGAAACAAAACTCCAAAAGGACAAAACAACCCATAGCCACTTGTAAGAACACACTGCTTGCTTTGGTGTGCTTACTCTATCTTGAGTGCAGTGACTGCAGAATTTGATTCTTTATTAGAAAATGGGTTCAACTCTTTTGATTATCTAGGAATATGAAGGTCTGTTCACACTGTGGCATACTGACAAGCTTAGCCAAATGAGACAAGACAATCCCCAACCCCCCACCTTCCAATTTTACTTTTATGTATCAAAAGCAGGGCATTAGAGTTAGAGTGAGGTTCCTAAGGAATATAATGATAAAATCACATAATTTATGTGGTTACTTGAAAAAGAATCTTTCAATCTTTAGAAGTATGGGCCCTTCTGACCTGGCATTCTATTGGGTTTGTCTGACAACAAGAGGTGAAAGAATTCTGTGGCTCCATTGTCTCAACAGTGGGATCTAAGACAACACTGGCAGGGCTCGTCAGAGAGGTTTATGAGCCTGCAATTCAAAGAGATTAAAAGGAAAATCTACAGCGATTCATTCACACTGACGAATAACATTAAATAACTATTAGCAGCTCGGTTCAGCCAAGCTCACCAGAGCTCTCGCTGAGTCATTCACAGCCTTCTAAAGAGGGAAAGTTTCTCCAGCCCCATTTAGGAATCAATAAATATTTCTTACTTCTTCTAAGACAATGGAATTCCAGTCTTTAAAACCTTCTTCCTAATGATAGTCAAATTTCTAAAGCAACCCTTTAATAGCCAAATAATTACATTTCTCATCCCACGAAAATTTCTAACCGAAGCTACAATATATTTAAAAAAAAGAAAGAAAGAAAGAAAGAAAAGAAAAAGGAAGAAAGAAAAGAAAAGAAAAACCAGTAAGTAAAATTTAAAACAGCAGCAACCGGAAACTCTGGGAGAGGGCTCATACTGTTCACTAGGCTGAGGTGTTTAAAAGCCTCACTCAACTGAATAATGGCCAAGAGATCAAGTGCACCCACAGGCCTGTCTGTCCCATTCATGTATCATTTATTCCAAGGGCCATCACCCCCAAATGCTCTCATGGAGAAATTACTACTTTTCTGGTGATGCAGTCAAAGGCTTAAATATACTGTCCCAGTTCTAAGACTTGTGTATGTACATACGGAGAACCCAACACCAGTGCTGCCCTCTGGTTCTAGCTCCACATTCTCTATCTTTACTCAAGTTGTTTGATTTTAAAATCATCTCACTTTAAAGAGCATTTCACTATAGAGATGAGATTTCCCACAGAGGAAGACGAATCTGTCCTTGTTGTTATATTGCTATTCTTGGTCTCTGATAAGGGGCTGAGAAATGGGCAACATTGACTTGAAAATTAAAGTCACAATTACAATGTTTTCCACTCCAAAGAAAAGAAATTAAGGGTGGAGTTTTTGCAAAACATGCACCTGGGCTGGGTGCACACCTGTTACTCTGGCGCTCCTGCAGCTGAGTCAAAAGGCAAGGGGCTCAAGGGCACACCAGGCACAAAGTGAGGTCCCATGGGAAGTAGGGGAGGGAGGGCAAGAAGGGATACGGTAAGTGCAAATGAAACACTAAAGCTCGATTCCTGTGCTTTACCATGAAATGGATACAACAGCAGACAAAGGCCCAGTCTCTTCTCCAGATCGACAGAACCCCTCATCTCTGACTAGTTAGATGCAAGGATGGTGGACCATACACTAGTTGTAGAAAACCTGGAAGCCAGATACTCTAAGACTAGAGAAAGTGTCTTGGAATCCTTTGTCACTAGCTGTATGACCGTGGTGAAATTAGAAAACCACGAGGTTTGTCTGCCCCTGGAAACAGGTAATGCTATCGTCCTCACAAGGGTATTGAAACAATATTTAAAAGGCAATTACCACAGCTGCAGTGTGTAAAAATAGTAACTATTTTAACTGTTATTA